AAAAAAAAAAAAAAAAAAAAGAGTGTGAAGCCGTGAGAGCACACGGGAAACGCTCAAAACATGCTAGCAGCTATTACTGGTTCTACTACTAGATGAATCCCATTCCCACCCCCACCCCCGACCTCCACAGCACAGGATCTGCATTGACTTCATTGACAAATCCACGCTGGGGCCAATACGTGCTACAGTATACAGGTGGTGATCAACACAGACCTGGGCCCAGCCACACACAGCACACAATCTGGCAGAGGAGACGGATACGAATCAAAAGATCATATGGATATATCCTTAACTGAGTCTGATGAAGGCTACCAAGGATAAAGTGGGGAAGGGGGCTGTGAGAATGTCTAAAGGAGACCAACACTCAACTGGGGATCAGGGAGGGCTTCCCTGAGGAAGGGGAATTTCAGCCAACCTGTGAAGGACTAAAAGGTGCTAACTCGGTGAAGACAAGTGAAGTGAGCTGAGCCAGGAGAAGAGAGAGCAGGCTCATTTCACAGTGGGCACAGAGGACGGAGCCTGGACAAGGGCAGGGGATGGGACAGATGGGACACACGTTTAGACAGCAGAACAGTCAGGGCCGGGTGGAGGGCTGGAGGTGAGGGAGAAAAGGCAGATGTCGGGACTCCTGGGTTTCTGGTTTGAGAGCCAGGAAGGATGGGGCACTGAGAGGAGGGCAAGGAGTTTGTCTGGTTCATCGAGTAATCCCCAAAGCCTATGGGAGGGCCTGGCCCTTTGCAAGTCTTAGTAAAAGTTTGTTGAATGAATGGATGAATGAACGCAGAAGAAACTACAGACGGTCCCTGACTCACAGTGGTTTAACTTACTAGAAACTGTACTTTTTACCCATACAACCATTCTGTTTTTCACTTTCAGTACAGCAGTCAGTAAATTACATGAGACATTCAACACTTTATTATAAAATAGGCTTTGTTGGATGATTTTGCTCAACTATAGGCTAATATAAGTGTTCTGAGCAGGTTTAAGGCGGGCTAGGCTAAGCTATGATGTTTAGTAGGTTAGGTGCATTGGTGTATTATTATTAAATGCGTTTTTGACATACAATATTACAACTTACATCATGCTATCGTAAGTCTAGAAGCATCTGTACATCGAGATGATAACAAGTAACACCCTCCCTAGGGCTCCTAATCTGGGAAGGAAATCTGAGCCAATCAAAATGTCTTGCATATAGATGATGACAATAGTCATAGTAATAATAATGATGAAAAAAGTGACCACAGTCCCCATTGTTAAGCAGCTCCCCACTCTTTCTTCTTGGTAAGAGATAACAAGAGCTCCCATGTTTTGAGGGCCATGTGTTAGGCATTGCACTAAGTGCTTTAAAGTTTTAACTCAATTTATTCTTCATAAGGACCAACTTCCAAAATACCAAACATGCTCTCACCTCAGGGATTTGCACCTACTGTTGCCTCTTCCTGGAGTGCCCTTCACCCCACTTACCCACCGACTTGTTCCCTCCCTTCTCTTCGTGAGACAGGCTTTTCTCCATCATCCACCACCCCATCCCTCTTCTTTCCATGACTCTACTGGTTTTCTTTATAGAACTTCGTACTAGCTGATGGCATATTTCAATTTATTTTCTGTCTGACTCCCCTATTAGAATGTAAGCTTCAGGAGGACAGGGATTTTGTCTGTCTTAGAACAGTGCCTGGAATACAACCGGCGCTCAACAAGTGGTTGTCGAATGAATAAATGTTCCACTCTGAGACTCTGGTACTGTTATGATGCCCATTTAACAAAGGAGGAAACTGAGGCACACAAAGATTAAGTACTTGGGTCGTACACCGAGTGAGTGGCAGAGGCGAGTCCTCAGTACATGCCCAATAATAGTTTATAATTACTAACCGCTTACTCAGGGCTTGAGCCAAAGGCTTTACCCTGAGTCATCTCGCTCAATTCTACAACCCGCGAGGCCAGCACTGTCGCGAACCCCACTTTACAGAGAAAGAAACCAGCGCCAGAGGTCGCCCAGCGAGGCAAGGGCGGGGCCGGGGTTCGAACCCGGGCGGCTAACGCGCCCTCAGCGCTCCCTGAGGCCATCCTGTTGCGGTCCCTGCTTCCTCCCCGCGGGGCCCGACGCTCACCCCAGGGCCGGGGTCGGTGTCGCGAGCCCCCAGCTCCGCTACCATCTCCGCGTGCAGAAACTGGAACAGCATAACAACCGCCATGCGCCAGCCTCGCTCTCCTAAAGACTGCCCACCGCTTCCTACTCTCATTGGCCAGGCTGGGAAAGCCCCGCCTCCTGCGTCTGGGCAGGAGCCTGCCTACTCCTGCTTCCATTGGTGTTTGAGACTAGCCCCGCCTTCGCTCTCTGGGCTCACGCGGTGCGCGCGTGAGTCTGGGAGACTAGGGGGAGAGCCTACTCCGCCTTTCATTGGCCACACGTGACAGCATCTTCCTCCCTCCCCTGTGTTCCTTCCTTGTTTCCGGGTCCTCTAGCATTCCCATTGGCCTAACCACTGGCTACACGTGACATACTCGGGTCTTTAAACCCCTGTTTGTCCACTACACACTTTCCTCACAGGACAACCCGGAAGAGCCAGCCCTACCTCGTTTCTATTGGCTGTACCTCCGTTCACGGGACTCTGCTGCGCACACGCCCTCAAAGCGGGTTCTGAGAACTTGCTTCCCGGTTGGTAGCCGAACGACCCCACGTGACTTAGCCGCCAACGCCCGCCCAACCTGCTCCCCCATTGGTTGGGGCCGCAGCCCTCCACCTCCCACGGTAAAGACGCCGCACTTCGCCTGGGTAGCGGATCCAGCGGGCTCGGAGCTTCGGTGACCCGGTACGGTCTTCTGCGACGCCCCCGGCCGCCCCGTTAATTAGTACACCCTCCCGAGTCCAGCCGGACTGTCACCCTTTCTATGACTCTGGCACTGGTCCCTGAGCAGCTCTCGATCCCGCGTGCTTCCGGGTCTGGGACAGGCCTGGTGGACCGTGGGGAGGGTGTGGCCTCTGCTGGGAGGCGAATTCGGAAATAACGCAGTTTGGGACTGTGGGAACTCAGGCCCCACAGCCTTGATCGAGCTGGTCCTCAGTTTCCCCATCTGTACACTGAAGAGCCTGGCTCTCTGGTAGCGGCCCCGTCATCACCCAGTTTACAGAAGAGGAAACTGAGGCCCAGATGGGGGAAGCAGTTGGCCCCAAAGCGCTAAGAGAATCGGAGGAGGGGCTGGGAATCCAGGACTTGCGCCTTTTAACCACCGCAGGCACCCGGCTCTCATGCTGTTCCTTCGCCCCTCTTCTCCCCTAGCTCGGTTCCATGGCGTCTCAGGGTCGTCGTCGGAGGCCGCCGCGGAGGCCAGAGACTATGGTGCCGGGGGAGGCGGCCGAGACGGATTCGGAGCTCTCTGCGTCCTCGTCGGAGGAGGAGGAGCTGTACCTGGGGCCTTCGGGCCCGACGCGCGGCCGCCCCACAGGGTTGCGGGTGGCTGGGGAGGCCGCAGAAACCGACTCGGACCCCGACCCGGAGCCGACTGCGGCGCCGAGGGACCTGCCTCCGCTCGTGGTGCAGCGGGAGTCGGCGGGGGAGGCCTGGGCCGCGGAGGAGACCCCGGCACCCGCCCCTGCGCGCTCGCTGCTGCAGCTCCGGCTGGCTGAGAGCCAGGCAAGGCTGGACCACGACGTGGCGGCTGCGGTGAGCGGCGTGTACCGCCGTGCGGGCCGCGATGTGGCTGCCCTGGCTAGTAGGCTGGCTGCCGCCCAGGCCGCGGGGTTGGCGGCGGCTCATAGTGTGCGCCTGGCTCGAGGGGACCTCTGCGCGCTGGCCGAGCGCCTAGACATCGTGGCTGGCTGCCGCCTGCTGCCGGACATCCGCGGCGTGCCTGGGACGGAGCCTGAGCAAGACCCGGGGCCGCGGGCCTAGCGATGACTCTACTCCCCCACTTGACTCTGCCACTTGGGAGTAGGTCTTGCCCCCCTTGGGACCTGGCTCTGTCACCCCAGTCTTTATCTTGCTGTCTTCCGTGGAGCTAACCCCACGGCCCTGGATAATACTGTGTGTTGGGTATAGTTCGTCCTCTGCCGTGGAGACCAGCTCTCCACTACCCTCAGATGTGGTTCCCCTAGGGGGTCCTGACCCTGGACATGGCACTGGGGCCTGCCTCTGACCCCTGATTCTGAGTCTGCTCCTGAGGCGCGGCTCCAGCCCCTGGCAAGTAGTTGCTCCTCCGTCTGCGTCCGCCCTGGACTCACGGGCACCTTTCCTCGCGCTCTGCTTTTCCGAGTTTGGTTTTTGCTCACACTGCTTGTCCTGGTTTTTCCCACGGGACCCGCAGGATCTGGCACGGATTCCCTGCCATCTTCCTGCACTCACTTGCATACGCCTCTGGTCCTAGCTGCATTTCCAGAATTTTCTCCTCTAGGCAGAGTCCTTTTTCGGATCCCCTGGTTCTGTCTCCTGGTTCTAGTTCTTCTTCTGCTTCTGCTAACTCCTCCTCCTCAGGCTTAGCTCCCTGCCCTCAGCCTGGTCCTGTTTCCTGAGTTCAGCTGTACCCTTAGGGTAGGTTTTGCTCCTTTTCCCTTTCCCATCCTGCTCATACTACCTGCCTGATTGCGGGCTCCGTGACTCCCTGTGGTTTCCTTCCTCAGGCCCAAAGGATGCCCCCTCCTGACCCAAGGGGGTCCTCCAGACCCTCCAGGCCAAGAAGGTGCTCCCTCTCAATTTTCTAGGCCAAGGTGGCACGCCTCCTGACTCCCCAGACGTAAAGTGACACCCTTCAAGGCACTTAGGGCCCAATTCAGCCCCACCCTGGTGCTCCAGCACAAGCTAACACCACTTAGCAGATAAGAAGGACGTGCTCCGATTTCACGGTCTTGGCTGCTGGATGCTGAAAGAACTGGCGTTTCTGACTCGACTGAGGGGCTGAGGTTAGCAGCCTCTCTGCTCCTTCTCACCTGCTCCCTCCTGTGCTCCCAGTTGTAGTCCCTCAGCCGTGTCCTTATTCACTGTCCTCTCCCAGCCTTGTACCATGCCCCCCTTCTCCCAACCTGAAGCTGACCCCTGAGCCTGCAGGATGGAGAAGTGGGGAGGAGCTCTCATTAAAACTGTAAACATTTACCCCTGTGGTCGCTTCCTCTTCTCTCCCCATCTAAGCTGGGGGTGGATTGGTTGGTGATTTCTCTGGGACTGAAGGTCCCAAGGCCTCCATGCCTGGCCTAATGAAAATGAAGCTATAGTTGGAAATCAGGGCCTTGAAATTTTCACCCTGGTTCTGTATTTATTTGTAGCTCATCAGTTCAACACACAGTTTTGGGGTATCTGGCCCATGCTGGGGCTACAACAGCCAGTCCCTGCCCTCATAGAGCTCACGGTCCAGTGGGGAAGACAGTAATAAAATGTTCTCATAAATAGTTCTGGTAATCATAATTGGTAGTTTAGATATTTTCTTGGCACTATGATTGAGCCTTGGAGTACAGGAGCTTTGTGAAGGTGTAACGGGGTCTGTCTGACCTAGTCTGGGGAGGGGAGCTCAGGCGGCTTCCTAGAGGAAGTGATGAGTGACATAGGAGCTGAGCCTGGAAGACGTAAAGAGGTGAAATGGGAATGGGATGGAAAAGAGCTGCAGGCAGAGGGAACAGCATATGCAAAGGCTCTGAGTCAGAGGGAGCATGACTTATTTAAGTAACAGAAGAAGGTGACTTCTCTCTGCCTGGAGTAGAAAGAGCAATGGAGGTGGGGGAGGTGAGTATGGGACCAGCAGTGACCAGATGAAGGAGGGTTTTTAAGCCAAGTGAAGATTCTTAGGTGAGAAGTAATTTGGAGAAAAAAAGGAAAAAAAAAGATTCCTGGTCTTTATTGACTGACCAGTTTGCAGAGAGTGACACCATTAGGTGTGTGTTTTGTGAAGGAGATGCTGAGACTGATGCTTCTGCGATGTGGTTGCATCTGAAAAATACCCAGAAATAACTAATTTAAAAAACAACACACATTCTTTTCGATGTACGGCTGAGCTCAGAAGAGAACGTGGGAAACCTCCCAGGCTAAACTGCAGAGGTAGCTTCCGTTCAGTTGACCTGACAGTATTGGGCAATACGGAGACGCAGGGTCGTGGGTTTTCACAGCTGGCCAGGCTGTTTGGAAAGAAACAGAGGCCTCTGCATAAAATTCGGTCCTTTGAAAAGCGACAATTTCAGGGAAAGAATTTGGCAGGAAAAAGTCTATTTGATGCCATGGAGGCATGGCTAGGAAATTTACCGTCTCAGATTGGGCTCTGGGTGGGGCAGTTGGGGGGGGTTTCTCCCCAGAAGGTTCGTAACCACAGCTCTGTCTTCAGTTCTGATTTAGCCGTGCACAATGGTCCAGGAAACTCCAAGCATAGAAATGAACTGAAAGCAGGCTTTGGTTGAAGCAAAGAAACACATGTTCAACTCAAGCCACGTAGAATTATAGCAGATTAAGGCCAGGTGCGGTGGTGGCTCATGCTTGTAATCCCAGCACTTTGGGAGGCTGAGGCCAGAGGATCACTTGAGGCTGGGAGTTCAAGACCAGCTTGGGCTGATCTGACCTCAAGACATCGCTTGTCACATATGGCTGTTTCCCATGGGGATTTTTGAAAATGGGGTTTTTGAAAACATTTAAAAATGTTACCATTTGCCGTGCGTGGTGGCTCATGCCCGTAATCCTAGCACTCTGGGAGGCCAAGACGGGAGGATCGCTCAAGGTCAGGAGTTCGAGACCACCCTGAGCAAGAGTGAGTCCCCCGTCTCTACTAAAAATAGAAAGAAATTAGCTGGACAACTAAAAATACATAGAAAAAATTAGCCAGGCATGGTGGCGCATGCCTGTAGTCCTAGCTACTTTGGAGGCTGAGGCAGGAGGATTGCTTGAGCCCAGGAGTTTGAGGTTGCTGTGAGCTAGGCTGACACCACAGCACTCTATCCCGGGCGACAGAGCGAGACTCTGTGTCAAAAAAAAAAAAAAATGTTACCATTGCTCCATAAAGGGTCCCCGTCCTGCTAGAGAGAGGACCATTACTCTGTGGAGTAGGATCTGCTGTCTGTCTCTCAATAAACTTTCTGTCATGGGTTGGTCACTCTGAAATTCTTTCCAGCGAGAAGCCACAAACCCACTTGGCACGTTCAGGGGGCTTCCTCCCTGCACTGGGACACCCCCTGCATCATCGTTGTTATCCTTCGTCCAAGAAAGCTGAAACTATGGAATTCTAAAGACTGGGGACAATGCCACAAGCGACAGCAGCTGTATGAACCGATGACTTGATCAGCGTCTCATTTTTGCCACGCTGCAATTGCCATTCCAGCTTGGCTTTTGGCTGCTCCTGAACTTTCCTCACTGAGATGTCTCCTCTTTCCCCCCAAAGTGGGACAGGACTATTCTGGAATGACCCTTCCCAGCAACAAGGGACACCTTGACACTCAGATTTTGATCATCACTGCTTTCAGGAAGAAAGATTTTTGATCAAAAGGGGAAAAGAACAAAGAAAGAACTCTTTTTATCTGAGGAATGGGAGCCCTTTTAAAATATCAGGCCCAGAGAGGCATTTAAAATGTAACAGCAGTGACATGTCACTCCCCCCTAGAGCTAAATAATTACCTTTTAAAGCCAGGTGTTATGCGGGCTCTAGACTAACCAATGCCAAGTAGCAACAATGTGTAGCCAATCACTGACCGCTGTTATTTCTGTCAACCAATGAGGACTCCTGATGAACAACTTCTGTGATCGGCCCCTGTCCTGATTTGTCCATATTTCTTTAAAAATTAAGCCTCTCGTTCGTTCTCCAGAACACCCCCCAAGGCAAGTTGGAAGTGTGTCCAGGGCTGCGGTCCACAACCTTGGCCCAAATAAACCATGTTAATTTCTGCTCTGTGTCTTCCTTTCAGGTCGACACCTCCTACTTCCAGGGGCTCTGTAATCCAATCCCGTCAGCGCCAGACCTGCCTACCCGGTGCCCCTGCAAATGTGTCTTGGACCCCCAACCACGGAGAATTCACGGCCCCTGGACAGCAGCAGGTTTTTTTAAATTACAAAGCCATTTTGCCCCCGACTTTGAGAAGATCCTATCCAATTTCGAGAGAAGTGAGAATGATTAGGCTGTTCATAGCCCCATTGATAGAAATCTTGACTGGCTACTGAGGAGTGGTCTCCTTCATGCTGTATTTATCGGACAGGTCAAATGGCCTGGAGGGGGAACCCGCCACCCACCCCCCGACCACAGAGGGAACCAGTGGCCAGAAGTTCTCCCAGGGACTCCTACCAATGACCAAGAAATGGATCATCTAGAGGCAGATATTTGGGCTCTTCCAGGGGCAATAACAGAGGTCTTTTTGGAACTGGTCTAACGTTAGATTCTGCATTCTGAAGGAAGGGAAACATTCTAGACTTTTCCAATGTGCACTGCATTAACCCTGAAGCCCTAGAACATAGAAATCTTTTCATTGCTGCCTTGGTAGAATATCCTCTCCCTGATATAAAGAGGCAAATCCAACATAGTGTCATGGGCTGGACAGGTCCGTCTCTCAGCGTCATTCTAGAAGCAGTTGCACAATTCTTTGAAAACAGCTTGCAGGGGAAAAGGATTAAAATGAACTGCACTGTGTTTGCCTTGCAAACTTAGCAGTTGCAAAAACAAAGGCAGGACTCCAGAGGAAACTCAAAACCCACTCCCTTTTCCAGCCAGCCAAGGAGTCTTCCCCGTTTGCCTCCAGACATCTGCAGACATTGTGAAAAGCCAGCGATTGGAAAAACAATCGCCCTGCACGCAAGAGAAAGGAAAGCTTATGTAACAATCGCCCTAGACCCCAGGACCCACAGAAGATCCATTTTCCCCCTCTGTGGGACTGTACCCCATCCACTGATGGGTTTGGGGATCCCCCAGTTCCACCCCAGACCCTACTATTAAACTGACCGTAGAGGATTGGGAACTGGACTTCTTGATTGACACTGGTGAGAATTTCTCTACCATCCATCCACTCAGAGGATTCATCTCTACCTGTAACCCTGATTCTACTCAAGCTGTTAGAGTCCTTGGGTGACCTATTTCATTGCCCATGTTTTAGGCTCCCCCCCTCAATATCCCAATATCCTTAGTAGACTTTCTTAACACTCACTGTGCCTTTCTTTCTTTATGGATTGAACCACCAGGAAACTCATTTTACAGCAGTGATACACCACTTGCTTGCAAAAATGTTGGGGTACTCACTCAAACTTTATACCCTGGCTGGGCTTGGTGGCTCATACCTGTAACCCTAGTGCTTTGGGAGGCCAAGGCAGGATTACTTGAGGCCAGGAGTTTGCGACCAGTCTGAACAACATAGTGAGACTCCACCTCTACCAAAAAGGAAAAATTAGCCAGGCATGCTGGCATGTGCCTGTAGTCCCAGCTACTTGGGTGGCTGAGGCAGGAGGATCATTTGAGCCCAAGAGTTTGAGGTTGCAGTGAGCTATGATGACACCACTGATTTCTAGCTGGGGTAATGGAGCAAGACCCTCACTCAAAACAAACAGGCTGGGTGCAGTGGCTCACGTCTATAATCCTAGCACTCTGGGAGGGCCAAGGCGAGAGGATCGCTTGAGGTCAGGAGTTCCAGAGCAGCCTGAGCAAGAGCAAGACCCCATCTCTACTAAAAATAGAAAAATTAGCTGGACGTGGTGGCGCACTCCTGTAATCCTAGCTACTCAGGAGGCTGAGGCAGGAGAATCACTTGAGCCCAGGAATTCGAGGTTGCTGTGAGCTAGGGTGATACCACAGCACTCTAGCCCGGATGACACAGCAAGACTCTGTCTCAAAAACAAACAAAAACAAAACTTTATACCCTGTACCATCCCCAATTCTCAGGTCAAATGCAAGGGAAAAACTTAGAAATAAAATAAATTTAGGAAAAGTTGGCCAAGAAACTGGACTTAAATGGCCAGAAGCATCACCCTTGGCCCTTATAAAAATCCAGTTACTTCAAATAGGAAACATGGATTAATCTATTTTGAAGCACTGTTTGGATGCCCTGCGCCTACTGACCTCTCCAAACCTTCCATTCCTGAACCGAATGGACACTGGGATGAGTCGTGGGTGAGTTGA